TGCTATGCTGCGCGATGCTATGCTAGGCTAGGCTATGCTGCGCTATGATATGCGATGCTAGGCTATGCTATGATATGCTATGCTGCGCCATGCTATGCTATGCTATGCGATGCTATGCTATGCTGTGCTATGCTATGCTGCGCTGCGCTATGCTATGCTATGATGTGCTATGATGTGTTATGCTATGCTATGCTGCGCTGTGCTATGCTGTGCTGTGCTATGCTATGCTATGCTAGGCTATGCTGCGCTGTGCTATGCTATGATATGCTATGATATGCTATGCTGAGCTATGCTATGCTATGCCATGCTATGATTGGCTATGCTATGCTATGCTATGCTATGCTGTGCTAATGCTGCGCTGCGCTATGCTGCGCTGCGCTAAGCTAAGCTAAGCTAGGCTAAGCTAAGCTAAGCTAGGCTAGGCTAAGCTAAGCCAAGCCAAGCCAAGCCAAGCTAAGCTAATCTAAGATGAGATAAGCTAAGCTAAGCTAGGCTAAGCAAAGCTAAGCTGAGCTAAGCTAAGCTAAGCTAAGCTAGGCTAGGCTAGGCAAAGCTAAGCTCAGCTAAGCTGGGTGAACCCAGGGGGCGCAACTGGGGGAACCGCGGGGCGGATACTGGGGGAACCTTCTGGGGCGATTTCCACTGCCCGGCCCCTTTGAGAAAGAGATTTTCCCAGTGCAACCCTACCTAGGAGTTGGAGCATTTAGGAAAGCAACATCTACATCTACACCGACAGCTACATTTACATTTACATCTACACCTGCATCTACATCTACATCTACATCAACATCAACAGCGAGACTCATATCTACATCTACATCTACACCTACATCTACATCTACATATACATCTACATCTACATCTACACCTACATCCACATCTACACCTACATCTACATCTACATCTACACAGTCGCATTGGTGTTGCTTTTGCTTTGCATTGCCTTTGCGTTTGCTCTTGCCTTCGCTTTTGCCTTTGCCTTTGCTTTTGCTGTTGCTTTTGCTTTGCTTTTGTTGTTGCTTTTGCTTGATTTTGTTTTTGCTTTGCCTGCGTACAGACACACACACGCATGTGTTCGCATTCGCTCACCGGGTGTGCTTGAGAATGCTCCAGCTCCAGCAAGAGCTGCAGGCTGTTCAGCATTGCAGGTCCTGCTTTGCGTTGCTTGTGCTTTGCTTTGCTGTTGCTGCTGTTGCTTTGCCTTTGCTTTGCTGCTATGCTATGCTAGGCTATGCTATGCTATGCTATGCTGCGCTATGCTATGCTATGCCATGCTTTGCTATGCTGCGCTATGCTATGTTAGGGTATGCTAAGGTACGCTCGGCTGCGCTGTGTTATGCTAGGCTATGCTACGCTATGCTATGCTGCGCTATGCTATGCTATGCTATAGTTACTGTGCTGCGCTATGCTGCGATATGCTATGCTCTGCTGCGCTATGCTATGCGATGCTAGGCTATGCTAGGATATGCTATGCTGCGCTATGCTATATTATGCTATGCTATGCTATGCTGCGCTATGCTATGCTATGCTATGCTGTTCAATGCTAGGCTATGCTGTGCTGTGCTATGCTAAGCAATGATCTGCTATGCTATGCTATGCTGCGCTGTGCTATGGTATGTTATGCTATGATATGCTGAGCTATGCTGTGCTATGCTATGCTATGCTTGGCTATGCTATGCTGTGATAATGCTGCGCTGCGATATGCTGCGCTGCGCTAAGCTAAACTAAGGTAAGCTAAGCTATGCTAAACTAAGCTAAGCTAAGCTAAGCTAGGCTAGGCTAAGCTAAGCTAAGCTAAGCCAAGCTAAGCTAAGCTAAGCTAAGCTAAGCTAAGATGAGATCGGAGGTGAGGGGGTGAGATCGAAGTGGAACGGAGAGCCCCCCTACCGGGAAATCGATTTCGGTTTCGTGTTCGTGCGTGCCGTGCGCGCGGGCGAGGCGAAGCTGCGTGGGCGGGCGAGAGGAAAGTCTCCCGTGGCTGAGGCGCGGCCGGACCAAATGTGTCTCTTCCGGGCGGCCGGTGGCGCGCGGTGTCCCGCCGGTGTCCCGCTGGTGTCCCGTCGGTGTCCCTGTGGCTGAGGCGCGGCCGGACCAAATGTGTCTCTTCCGGGCGGCCGGTGGCGCGCGGTGTCCCATCGGTGTCCCGCTGGTGTCCCGTCGGTGTCCCGTCGGTGTCCCGATGATGATGTGGATGATTATGATGATGATGATGATGATGATGATGATGATGATGATGATGATGGTGGTGATGATGACGGTGATGATGGCGATGATGATGATGATGATGATGATGATGATGATGATGATGATGATGATGATGATGATGATGGTGTTGTTGATGATGTTGACGTCGATTGTGAGATCGATTGTGACATCGATAGTGAGACAGAATGTGATATCGATTGTGAGATCGATAGTGAGATCGATTGTGAGATCTATAGTCAGATCGATTGTGAGATGATGATGGTAATGATGATTATGATGATGATGGTGCCGAGTGAAAATTGCCGAGTGAAAATCGATAATGAGATCGATTGTGAGATCGATAGTGAGACCGAATGTGAAACCGAATGTGAGATCGATTGTGAGATCGATTTGAGATCGATAGTGAGATCGATAGTGAGACCGAATGTGAGACCGAATGTGAGGTCGACTGTGAGATCGATTGTGAGATCGATAGTGAGATCGACAGTGAGACCGAATGTGAGACCGAATGTGAGATCGATTGTGAGATCGATTGTGAGATCGATAGTGAGATCGATAGCGAGATCGATAGTGATATCGATAGTGAGATCGAATGTGAGATCGATTGTGAGATCGATTGTGAGATCGATAGTGAGATCGATAGCGAGATCGATAGAAATATCGATAGTGAGATCGAATGTGAGATCGATTGTGAGATCGATAGCGAGATCGATTGAGTGAGACGTTGGTTCCGCCTCCCCCCTCACCTCCTTATCACCCGCAGGGTGGTCGTATAGGTAAGCTAAGCTAAGCTAAGCTAGGCAAAGCTAAGCTAAGCTAAGCTAAGCTGGGTGAACCCAGGGGGCGCAACTGGGGGAACCGCGGGGCGGATACTGGGGGAACCGCCCAGGGCGATTTCCACTGCCCGGCCCCTTTAAGAAAGAGAGTAAGAACCCTCTAGGCAGAGCCTAGGTAGGGAAAAGAGAGTAAGAACCCTCTAGGCAGAGCCTAGGTAGGGAATTACAAGAGAGAGAGAGAGAGAGAAAGGGAGACGACGAATAGCGCAGGGGAGGCATGCAAAACTGGGGGAGGGGGGCACGCGGTCGCTGATATTTGATTCTCCTCCGCGAGATCAATGCCTGTGTTCTCATGGCGCCACGGGTTTCCTGCACGACGCCGGGTATCTGGGGAGAGGGGGAGAAGTGGAGAAAGGGGAATTGTGGAGTCGCCAGAGGTTGAGGTGTTCTCAAGCCTCGCGCGCGCGCCCGCCCCCTGGCGTCTCCACAGCCCTCCGGACTCGAGAAGTGAGGGGCCCAGACCTCCTACAGTCATCGTGCTACAATGGGGAACGCACAACTGTTTTCGTCGGCAGCGAGGCGGGGGCAATCCGCACCAGCGTGGGGCAAATCGGGGCAACCGATCGGCAAATTGTCGGGCGTGCAAAAGAGAAAGAGGCGAAGACGAGGGCGGCCGCGCGAAGGGAGGAAGGGGGCGCTCAGACGTGGAAGAGTTCCGCGCTGAGCGGGCCAGAGCAGCCTGCCAGGGCAGCGGGGAGGAGCGCGAAACTGGGAATGGAGTGGGATCTCTGGCCGCAGCGAACCTCGGCCACGAAGAGCTTCTCCGATCGAGATCTGAGGAACGGCCCGGGAACCAGAGCCCCTCTCGAGCCCAACGTGGTCCTTGTGTCAGCGTCTTGACCGCACGTCTTGAGACGATCAAGGCGGCTGTTCTCGGTAGCGTCCGAGAAGGGGGCGTCCAAGAGCGAGATTCGCAGATGATGGCTAGAGGAATGCGCGCGGGCGAGGGGGAAGGGCTAAAGGACGTATGATGGAAGAAGATGAAGGGGCCCCGGGACACACAAATAAGCACGCACAAATAAACATTTTCCCAATATTTTCCTATATTTTATGGGTTTCTGTCTTCCCCCCCACTTCCCATATTTCCCCATATTTTCTATGGAATCGCCGATCAATTGTGTCTGTGTGTTTCTTTCCCTCCTGAGAAGAGGGGGTCATTAAATCTGGGGCGATGTCATGGCCCTGGCCATGAGATCCCCCCTAGTCGCAACCTCCCTCCTGGACGCCCCCGATGGGCTCGGCGATGTCATCCCCAGGTCGACAAGAGCAGACTGGGATTATGTCGGGCGTGTCCCCCTACAGGGGGATGCTCGACGAAAAACCAACATGCAAAAAAATACTATAAAGATAGTCCCGACTTCAGACTGGGATGGAGAGGCGAGTCCGCGGGAAAGGGGTCCGGAGCTCCGGGGGGGCACGGTGCGAAAGAGTACGACGCTGGGAGGCTGGGGAGGGAGACGGGTGGAGACGCGGCTGCGAGCGTGAAGACCACCGACGTCAAGATTTCCTACGATGATTACGACTTGTTCAATTCGGACCATGTTCTTCGATTTCGGCCTCAAAGGCCATTGTCGGTCGCTGGGGCCATCAAAAAATGGATCCGGGACGAAGAACTACCCCCAGGGAAGCGGTCAAAACCTCTGGGGCCGCGCATTGAAAAAACTCGTCGTCGGTTGTCCGGGAATTGGGCTGGAGCAGATGGGATCGAAACCATAGGGATCGACTTAAGAGCACAAGATAACCAAAGTGTACAAGCCAGGTGCTACGCTCGTGAGAAAGGGCTGGCACCTGGCTAGCGAACCCTGCTTGTATACTTCTGAATCGACGTCGGGATGGAAACGATCGTGTTCTGGACCGCGCCGCATCGCCAGTGCAGCGGTGGTGCGGCGTGATACTGCCTCGCCAGTGCTCTGGCCCTCTCTGTGCAGCCTGGAGAGCGCTACCTCCCCCTCGGATCTCCTCGGCCTTGGCGGCCGCCGCTTGGGCTGCTGGCCGCAGCAGCACGCCCTGTCCCTCGCACGCCTCCTCGCTGGCCTCCGTGGGGACAGGCCAATGGCCGAACCAAAAAGGAGGAGGGGCATCTGCTTCTCCCGAGAGGGGAGCAACGACACGAAGCCAACACAGTGGAGCGCAGGAAACTGCCACGTGCGGTGGGAAAGTTGCCGCGAGAAGTCTGGGGGCGTTCACCCTTCGTCGACCTTGACCTTCGCAAGGCGCCCCATGAATCCCCACGGCCCCCTGGGGGAGGATTAGAGACTCGCGTGAGGAGCACAGGCTGACAGGAAGGTCTCGCAGCTGGTGAACCTACAGCATCACTGCGCGATCCGATCCTGCTCTGGTCAGCTCTGGCTCCCACCCAGACGTCCGACAACGTGCTTTTGTTGTCCCATGCGCGGCAACCAACGGTCCCGACCTCTTCCCTGGGGGCTGCTTTCTGTGCCAGATCCATGTTGTTATGTCTCGGGGGCCCGGCAACGGCCGACGCCGAGGAAGAACGCCGGGATTGAAAAAACATATCGTCGGCGTCCCTATGGGGGAGGAACGGGTGGATAATGAAGAGGAGGGGGCCACCAGGCTGACCAAGTCGTGCAACCGACGGAAGGGAGCACGGGCCATCTCTCGGGCCACTCAACCTGGAAGACTAAGCGGAGCGGTGAGGCACGACGCGTCTAGAGTATAAAACGATCAACCATCAAGGGGCTTACCCGACTTTGCATGCCGCCCCGCACTGATAGTGGCAATGTTGCGATTCTTTCTGAACCTGGTGGGGCCGTGTTCACAGGGTCGTGAACATTGGCCTTCGAGCCGACAATTGGCGACCCTACCCCGGGCCTCCTGGTACGAGCCTCAAATAGTGCGGACCATGAATGCGGGGGTCACCAAAACTTGGTGCCCGTGGAGCTCGACGATAGCTCCAACGGGCACCGACGCCCCCGCGTGAACCGAACTCGCCTCAGCGCCAGCCACACACACACACACACGAATATCAGGCACGATAATATTAGCAGCCTCAAGCGCTGCCGCCACCGCGGCCGTGCGCAACGCAACGGCGGGGCCCCTTGCGACTGAATGTCCGAGCGAGCCCTGGGCTTCTGTTGGGCCGTGGGCTGGCAGGGTCCTTGTAGCACCTTGGTTCAGCTGCCGGGGGTCCTGGCCTGGGCAAGGCGTGCCTTACATTGATTGCTACTGGGGCCCATAATGACCACGCTATGCGCAGTGAGGGCCGCGGATCTGGCGGGACGCGGGCTCTCTGCGCGAGCGGGCGAAACGGTCATTCAGAACATCTGGATGCGTCTTGCGACATGCACGCCGTGACATGGAACGAGCCTGCAACCAGGCATCCGATCCGCCCAAGTTCCTCGAGATCGTCCCCCCACGGGTGCTGAGCGTTCGTCGCAAACTCCCCCGTTTCTTTGTGAGCAGGGCGCCGGTGAAAGTCGGCCGGTGGTCGCCCTTGCGTGGGGGCAACAATGTTCCTCCACAAATTTGCACACTGCACCTGAGCGTCGGAGTTATATTCGTGCCACTCCCTCCCTGCAGCCACGAACGAGGACAAGTCCGACACCGCGAGTGAGACTTCGGGGATCAAGCTGGGAGTTGCCAGGAGAGCTGCACGTTCAGCTCGTCATGCCGTTTGGATGGGTCCTTCAAAATGTCCGTGCGCAACGCGAACAGGAAGACCTTTTCCACCTAGCTGACAGAACCCCCATCCACATCGCCTTACCTCGGGCCATGACGGGGTCAATCCAGGCCCATCAGCATATACAGGGGAGGACCGCGTGGTTTTGCCCGAACTCCAGTAGCCCCATAGCTTCACCTCGAACCCCGTGGAGACCTTCGGAGGAAAGTGAGTACATCCCACCCATGGCTTGCTAGACCTTGATACCCACTTTCACGTATATACTCATACACGAGATTCAACCTGGGGCCCCACAGGAGGCCCTCATGATTCGTGTCGTTGCAGAAAGAAGCACAGCCCCCCCCCCAACACACACACACACACACACACACACACACACACACACACACACACACACACACACACACACACACACACACACACACACACACACACACACACACACACACACACACACACACACACACACACACACACACATACACACACACACATCGACACCGTGTCCAAATGCGGCGCGAGCAGCTCCACAAAAAGGGTACGCAGAAAATTTAGCATATCTTGTCAAGTGCACTCGGACTTTGGCCCAAATACATCCAGCCCACACCGCGCGAAAACCTCCCACAAAAGGAGGGTGCTTGACGGCAGCCTCGGCTCAACCCGAACACACTTGCGCAGGACTGGGAGCCAAATCTCTTCCTTACCATGACAAGCATCTCGATGGTGCTCGAATATCCTCCTTGCCCGCCGTCTTTCCACTCCTTGGCGTGCCATTTTAGAAGCTGGTTTAGGAGGTACTTGCAACGGATTGATGACTAGGCCCTGGTAGCCCACCGCCAGCACGCTAGGCTGCATGCTCCAACCAAGTCGAGCCAGATTAAGCCACCGTGCCCCCAGAGGCCCACGAACCCCTGCCCAAGACATCTTCTCTTGAATCTGAACCCCGAGAGCCTGCCAGGCTAGTTGGGGCCTACCCAATGGAACGCGCTGGTCCTAAACGGAGCTGGCGTAGATCCTAAGGGGTCCATGATGGCATGGTAAATGTGTCATGCATCCTGTCCTTCTAGGTGGCAGGGTAGCAGGCGGGGGAGGCGCTGCCCAAAATGCGCCCGCGCTAGTGTCAGGCCGGCTGTCTCTATGCTGGCCAGCTCCTTGTGAGACGCACCAGCTGCGGCCGCTCCATGACGACCGGAAGGAAGTGGGCCAATGCGCCGCAAAGCTGCCGCCATCGACCCAGTTCCACGGCGCAGCAGTCGCAGTCGCGGCAATCGCTTTCAAAACTTCGACCTCTGTGCGACGGTTTGTTTGCGAACTGGTTGAACCCTTTGCGCTTCATGTCCGAATTTTCGGACGCGTTTCTTAGCGGCGAGTCGACGTCGACCAGCCTTCCCGTTGAATATATCAAGCACTTCCTTGCCGATGCAGAACTGCCCAATCTTTTCTGGTTCGACGGCCATGCCCGGCTTCCCGACATCCCGCGCAAACGCGCGCGCGGCTCAACGCACATTGGCAGCGTCACTGAGGCGGGTGCCAGCTCATTGAGACGCGCTGTGGTCCACGAGCGCCCGTGGCATGACATCTGGATACTTGCCGTGCACAAATACTATGGCATGCTACGCAAGAGTTGTTCGCAACGTGATTGCCTGCGCGTGCGCAATTAGTATGCCCTGCTGCGCAAGTCTGGGCATGCCCCAACACCCATGCGATTTCACAACACTGGGCTGTCTATGCGGTTCAAGAAGCAGCCGAAGTAAACGCAGCGAGTAATGTCTCTCGCCTCGCCAACCAAGGCAGGACAAGTCATTGTCTCGAAACGCTCCCACATGTCTAACACAACGGACACCGCGTGGTCACCTAGAAGACGCGCTACTTCAGCCTGTGGGTGATGTTCATATGCATAGAATGGCAATGAACAGTCTCTACGATCAAGCCATCTGTGCGGACCACCGCGCGTGCTAAACCATGTCCTAGAAATCGACCGACGAATGCGCGACCATACTCTAACCATGCTCCCCATCAGAGTGACCAAACGCGCTTCGCCATCTGGCTTAGTTATTTTAGCAGTCTCATTGACTATCCTGCGCGCTGGCCGTATGAACATGCGCGCGCATGACATGTATAGCATAGCCCAAACCTCCAGCCCCTCGTCGGATAAATACCAAGAGCTGGGTGGATGCATTCGAGTGTGTCCGGCTGGTTGTTCCACGACAGCGCATGTGAAACCGTTCGGACGTCTTCCACCGCGAAAGAAAAACTCGTCCCACTCGGCAGCCCCACAAGGTCGCTCCGTTCAGTTCGTGTCATGACAGGACTTGACCTCCCTCCATTTCCACATCCCACCATCTGCCACCTGGCATGGCCGCGTGCGCACCGCGTGGGATATGCTGGCAGAAACGGCCTTGACTCGCGATGCCCTGTGATCCTTACCAGTTCCTTCCAAAAGATATCGAACCGACTCATTGCTTGTATTGCTTCTCGCTCTTCTCGCTCTGCCTGAACTTCTCCAGAATGGAATCAGCAAGCCGCTCAAACATCCCAAACAATAACTGATCAAACTCAGGTTTTCGCGAACCTGCTCACGCAGGCCTGTGAGAACGACCTGGATTGCTGATCCAACAACTTCAGCACCTTGCTCTGTCGCAGCCTGCGTCGGTACAACATATCGACTGCCGGGTCGATCTGGCGAGCCGAGCTGCAGGCCGCGCGTCGTCCATGTCGTTCTTCCCATCGCACTGCCCGCCCCGCCCCGCCGCCTCTGTCGAACGCGTGCCCATCCTTCATCATCTTCATCATCAATCGCCGCTGACGTCCAAGGCATGGTGGAATCTAGAAAACTTAATCTTGCACGTCTCCACGCTTCGGTCCTTTCGGTACGCGTTCATCAGATTGTTCCAGAGCGCCCCCAATCGAATGATGTGCTGGGGCCAGCGAGCTGCCGCTAGCCAGGCTCCTGCTACTGGCCCATGCACCAAAACGACTGCACTTTATGTCCGACACTGTCCGACATGAGCTCTACGAGCGTCGTCCTGACTGGACCTCTTCGACCAACGTAAGGTTCAGCAAATATTATCACGAGGTCCCTTCTCCGCAGTGGCTCCTGCTTAATGCCTGAGACACCCATGCATGTCGAAGCTCCTGCTCACTGCTCACCGCCAGCTCACTATTCGCCACCACCACCTGCTCCTTCGTGTCATTGCAAGCTGTCGCTGTTCACGGGCGCCCAACGCGCGACCCTTTGGACGTCGCTTGGCGCTCGACGGTCATGCGAAGCCACGCTTCCCGATGTCCGTCGCTGATGGGCACGTGCGCAGGCATGTGGACAGGTAGCCCAGATGCTCGGTCAACTGTCGGAGCACCTACCTTGGTCGACAACGTAGATGATATGTAAAGCCAG